TGATGCATAGATCTGGAAGGTTCACTGACATTGCAGGAAAATATATATAACATAAATATCCAGGTACCTCCACCTAGAATACACATTGAGAGTGACATAGAGCTTGGAGAGTGCCAGCCCAGACTACTCAATGTACAAAGTTAAAGGTAACACAAGGTATGATGTTTGTAAGTGCACACACACTCCAATTTCCTCATCCCTCTGACACGCAGACACTATATTCTGTCAACTGACTTCACCTTCAGAGCTATACCATCTACTTCATGGGTGTCTATGTCACAACCCAGCTCAGCTGCAAACAGCCGTCACATCAGGCAATTGCTTATCCATGTGACGTGATATCGACGACTTCCCCTATTCCTATGCACCCATATTTGATCGATAATGATGCAAAACCTGGTCTGAGTTACAGGACACAGCAGCCCACTATCACCAGGGATCCTACACGCCGTAGGGTACGCCGCAGTGGTGGGCAAACTTTTCAAAGCGAGGGCCGCATCAGTGGGCCATGAAAAGTCAAAGGGCCGCATCTTTTAAAATCGGGCGGTGCGCTCTAAGATAATACGTGCGTTTCGCCTCAAGGGCGCCATCTCTGGACCATAATTAGCTGAAATGGCGTTGCAGAGCGAACCAGAGACAATAGAACACTAATCTGTATGACACTGAAAATGTCAGCCTCGGTTCAAGCACTAACATGTTGACTTTCACAAAAATTTATTGATTTAAAAAAAATTATTTGTTTATTTTTTATTTTTTTATTTGCTGCATGCTTCCGCGGGCCGCACAGAACCCCGTAGAGGGCCGCATGCGGCCCGCGGGCCGCAGTTTGCCCACCCCCTGCTATACGGTATTCTCCCAAAGCAACAACAGTTGAATCTTCTACTACACTGTAACGACGAAGCTGACGTTACCTGGTTCAAAGTAGATTTGTTGTAGAGATGAAATAAAACTCCAAACTCCAAGCAGTTGTGTTCAGCAAATAGCATTATTGTTTCTCAACCCACATGCGCGCGCACACTCACGTCCGATCTCTCCTCACAACCAAGAACCTTCACTTTATACATTTCTAGCTAACAAAGAAAGTCGTGCGCGCCTGGACAACCACACCCGCTGTCCACATGCACAACACTTCCCTCTCAACCGTTTCGCATCTCCATCACCCATACTACATCAGACGCGCTGCCGCCGCCTAACGCATTATGCAACCACCGTCGCGACATTTCTAAACACAACTACTATTTCTACCATCTGCAAATCACACTTTACATTACCTTCCTTTCCTCCAAGACGTTGGATTCTATAAGCCATCAACTTTATCGTCCTCGCTAATCTAAAACAAACCCTAATCTTAATCCACCCTACGTACACACCCATGCACACTTACATCCTACATACACACACGCACACGCACGCGCACGCACGCACGCACGAACGCGCACACACACACACCTCTCATCCTGGCGATTAGACAATCCAACATTACCCAAAATTGCTCGTACCCTTACTATACTAATACAATATCTCTTTCACCGAACACCAATACACTCATATACAAAAATACAGTTTGAACAAAAATCCATATGACCACTATAATACAACATCGATACACAGATACACAGATCGATGGAATACACAGCCCTGTGAAATCATCCCACTGACCACTTTGATATAATCCACATGCTTGACCCGACTTGCCAAGCTAACCACCATGATCTAAACTGTTCATTGCTGAATATACCGAGAAAACAACAACAACAACACACGACAACACACGTCTCCCTTGCA